TCACTGCATTCTCGACCCCCTGGGCTTGAGATCTTCCCACCTCAGCCTCTTGAGTGGCTGGGATTACAGGTGCACACCATTATACCCAGCTAATTTAAATAATTTTTTTATAGAGATGAGGTCTCTCCATGTTGCCCAAGCTGGTCTCAAACTCCTGGGCTCAAACAGTTCACCTGCCTTGGTCTCCCAAAGTGCTATTACAGGCATGAACCACTGCACCCCACTGAGAATTACTATCTTGGTGTTGGGAGGGGAGGGATTGGTCCTGGATATCTGCTATCCTTCCTTTCTCTGTCTCTCTCTCTCTTTTTTTTTTTGAGACGGAGTTTCGCTCTTGTTACCCAGGCTGGAGTGCAATGGCGCAATCTCGGCTCACCGCAACCTCCGCCTCCTGGGTTCAGGCAATTCTCCTGCCTCAGCCTCCTGAGTAGCTGGGATTACAGGCACGCACCACCGTGCCCAGCTAATTTTTTGTAATTTTTTTAGTAGAGACGGGGTTTCACCATGTTGACCAGGATGGTCTCGATCTGTTGACCTCGTGATCCACCCGCCTCGGCCTCCCAAAGTGCTGGGATTACAGGCTTGAGCCACCGCGCCCGGCCCCTCTCTCTCTTTTTTAATTCCTGCCTTAATTCTCACTTCCAGAGGTATTTGGAACCTAAACGTTTTGGGTATGTTTGGTATAAATGCAATTGCTTCTGTTCTTTACCTGCTGCTAGTTCCGTATCAACTCTATCAGCCTTCCAGCTTCTAAACCTTTGTTGCTGTGGTCACCTCTCTCTCTATCTTTGTAAAAATCCCTTGTTGTTTTAATGCACTGTTCAAAGAAGATAGAGCTAAATGTCTTTATTGATTTCACTATCTTTAACCAGAAGTCCAGGCTGCCCTTTTCCCCTTGGTCATAGGTAAGTTGTGTGATTTGTTGGAGGTGTCAAGTATGTACTGTGTGTTAGTGGAGAAAATATTTTAGTTTTCTTTGGATTAAGAGACCAAAATATCTTAATTGTCTGCATGTGTTTATATGTAGAGGTCAGAGTCATTAATTTCAAAACGTATCATTTTGCCCTAGTGAAGTATTTCTGCTTCAATTCTTATAGGTTCGGTTTTCCAGTTCGGCAGCAGCACTACAAATTTCAACTTCACAAACAACAATCCATCAGGAGTGTTCACATTTGGTGCAAATTCTAGCACACCTGCAGCCTCAGCCCAGCCTTCAGGCTCGGGGGGCTTTCCGTTTAACCCGTCTCCAGCATTTACAGTGGGGTAAGAGAATTTTTTATTGAAATGGAGAATTTACATTGGTTAGGGTATGTACATGTATATATTTTGTTTTCAAAAGTTACCAAGATCCAGTATGGTTTGGGTAAAATTAAATATGTTCTCCAACATAAATTGACCATACTGCAATTCTGGAGGATTATATTATAGTTTGAGAAAAGAAACAGTAATGCGTGTGTTAGGTATAGCAGAAAATGTATATAACAGTTGCTGCTGCTCATGGTAAATGTTAGGATTCGGAAATTTTGCTCCGAGCATCATACCACATTATGAAGCTTTTATTTTTTACAGGTCAAATGGGAAAAATGTGTTCTCATCTTCTGGAACTGCAGTCCCTGGCCGCAAGATAAAGACTGCTGTTAGACGCAGAAAATAAAGGTCACATTGGTGTTATACGCAATTTTAACAGCTCGTGCCTGCTTTCAGATACTGAGTTGGACTTTGCGCTAGGGTTATCTGAAGTCAGATCTGCCTAAGGACTTCTTTAATTTTGGATTTTTCCTCCTTTCCCTTTCTTTACAGAAGCCCCACCCTGCTTCATCTACCCTCTTTTTAAAAATAATAGCTAGACTGGTGACTGATTCTGCAGCAAAAATATTTTATGATCCAGCAGATTATTCACTGATTTGACATAGTCTGGCTGTTCCCAGGAATGGAGCCTGCACGGCAAATGGCTTTGTATAGAACCTCTTTGTCTACACCATTATGTGCGCTGATAAGCGTTTACGGAACGCGTTGAAATTGTAATTATATCTGAGGAATTCTGTATAGATTAGAATTCTGTATAGATTAGAGAATGTTGAAATGGATGATTTCTATGCTGAGTTTGTGCTGGTGTATGTGTGAAGTGAGTGAGTTGGGTGTATTGTGCACTAAACTTTTCTGATAGAGGAAGCCTGATTAAAGAATGGTCCGTGCTAAGGACTTGTTAGATCTAGTTCATTCTCCATTTAATAATTACATGCTATTTCTATATTTTCATTCTTCTATCACCTGTCTTGCCTTTTTCATTATTTTATTATGAAACTTGTGTAAATACAATTTTGTTTCTGTACTTTTTTGGCATAACATAAATCTGTGAACTTGAAATTTGAATTTTGTGTTAGAGATTTTTTTGTTGTTTGTTTAGTCTTGTCTCAGATTTTATTATATAAGTCCCATTATTCAAAGTTGCCTAAATCCATTTGGAAATCTTTAAAAAAAATTGGAGATTCTTAAAGTTGAATTTATTGGCTTTTCTGATCCAGTTTTGTTTGGACCAAAAACCAGTATTGTACAAAGTATTAAGCATATATTTTTATATTTACTAAAATGGACTGTGGTGACTTTGGATAATAAGGAAAAGTTTAATATTAAAGCCATGTTTATTACAGTATAATTAACATGTTAAACCATGGGATAAATGCCATCAATAAAAAATTATGACATACTTTTTGTTCTAGTATTACCTCATAATGAAGGTACACAGTCTTATTGGGACAGGACTATTAAAAGGTTAACAGTGGCTCATTAGAAGATAAATGCCAAAAAGTACATTGACATGATTCAGAAAACTCCTAAGAGAAGGGGAAAGTAATTTGCACATCAATTTACATACCTTTAAAAAACAGTTGAAAGTAAACACACATCCATTTCACTTTGTGCTTGTATCTTCCTTGGTAAGTTACTGGATAGTGTAAGTATTATTTTATTGTTTTTTTTAACTGGATTGTTTTCCTGTGGTTCACAAAAGAATTCTTGGAACAGTATTTGGTAATTTTATTTTTCAGTTTGAATGTAGTTATTTTGTGCTCAGTTTTAATTTGCTGAACTTCTGGTTGGTTGAAGTTTCTTTCTTTTCCAAGATGGAGTCTCTCCCTATAGCCCAGGCTGTGGTGCAGTGGTGTGATCTTAGTTCACTGCAACCTCCGCCTCCCGGGTTCAAGCAATTCTCCTGTCACCTTCCCGAGTAGCTGGGACTATAGGCGTGCACCACCACACCAGGCTTTTTGCATTTTTAGTAGAGATGGGATTTCACCATGTTGGCCAGGCTGGTCTCGACCTCCTGCCTCAGCTAATGTGCCCACCTCGGCCTCCCAAGTGTTGGGATTACAGGGGTGAGGCACCTTGCCCAGCCTTGCTTTGGGTTGTATGCTACATACACAAGTGAAAACTGAAGCTATTTGTAGCCGGGGATTGGAGGGGGATAAATGTTGGAAAGAAAATAATGAAAGCCCATACTTCTCATGCTGGGCCAATGAGTAATGAAGATGGATTGATTGACAGTGTCTCACCCAGGGTAGCATGCAGTGGTGTGAACATAGCTCCCTGCAGTCTTCAACTCCTAAGCTCAAGCAGTCCTCCTGCCTTGGCCTCCAGAGTAGCTGGGGACTACAGATGTGTACCACCATGCTAACTTTTTTTTCATTTTTTGTAGAGAACAGGGTCTTGCTATGTTGCCCAGGCTGGCTCACTTGAACTCCTGGGCCCAAGTGATCTTCTTGCCTTCCAATGTGCTGGAATTACAGGTGTGAGCTACCAAGCCCAGCCAGGAATTGGTTTTAATGAAAAAGAATCTCTGAAGGGAGGAAAGTCATGTTCAGAAAATTTAATCGAATAATTAGGTAGGTATGTTTTTATAATTTGGTTGATTGACCAGAGGATCGGTGGCTCGCACTGAATGTACCATTAGTAGTATTTGGTGGGGTATGTCAGATATATTCTAGGACTTCATCACAGAGAGTGACTGGGTCTGGATAGGGTCCAAAACCAAATAAGCACCTGGCAGACTTATACACTGAGGTTTGGGGGTGTCACTTTAATTGCTAGTTTTGAGTAATTAAAATTCTGGGCATTGAGATAAGGGTATAGTTCTGACCACTGAAAAATGTCTTTAAGCTGCTCATTAATACTTGTTACAAATTCTACCCTGAAATTGGCTTGTTCATCTAATGTTATTATTTGAAATTACTGAACTAATTTTAGCATATAACCAGGCCATATGCTGGTTAAACATGGTAAGAACTTTTTAATTATATTAGCATGTTATTTTCTGTGCCTATTTTAAACTTTGAAGTTCAATGGGAATTTTATAAAGGTTATTTTAGTTTGTGCATTTAATGGGAACTGACAGAGCTGGTGTAGTAAAATTGAGAAAATAGGGGTAGCAGGTCTAGCTGCACACATCAGCTGTATACCACGTCAGCCAAAGCCTTCATTTCTTTGTTATATGGGACAACTTGTATAAACTTTTCTCAAAAATCCACTGTAATTCCAGAACCTACATTTATGGCTAGGCTCCTAACAGTAGCACATTGTTACAGGCTCAGACCATCTTTTAGCTACGCTCTAGTTTATCCTTATTGTCTTTGCCCTTTTTGAGGAACCAGTTGTTTTACATCTGGCCCTGTTCATAAAAGTTAAACAGGAAAGGCTTTTAAGGTCAGAACTATATTTAAATTGCCCAGATGAGATTTATGTGGTGGTTGTGATGGTTAACAACTCTTAAAGGACTGGATTAATTTAATATTAAGCTTAATTCACGTACAAGGAACTTCTGAGTGTACTTGCTAAAGGAAGATATTCCTAAAGATGGATGAGTCCTTTTTCATAGATCTGTATTTCGGAAAGTATTTTAGTTTACTGATATACCCACTGAAAAAACTGTATTTGGAAGCAAGGTCTCCCTAAGCAGGAGATTCTAGAGCAAACCGTCTCAAAGAAATAGACAAAATATAGATGAGTTGATGACTAAGTATTTATTGAGACAAGTAATACAAATTGGTGGCATACAAATTACTAAAAATAGAATGCTGAATTTTATTTGTAGGTGGGCCATCAGATACTGTTTACAGGTCAAGCCTTATTATAATGAACCATAAAGAAATATGTACACTGTTTGAAATGAGGAACTTTATCCAGGCAAGCTCGTGATATCGTGAGTGGCCTATAGTACTGGGGACAAGGAACGTCAGGTAATTGACATGTTTCTTGTCAGATTTTTAGGAATACTGTTATTTAGGCATATTCAAAGAAACAACTGCCTATCTTAATAGGGATAAGTATATAATGGAAACATTTAATATCCATATCCCCCTCAAAAAGCCCTTTGTTCCCAAGTAGTATAATTTTCAACTCTTTACTACCCTTTCTTTGCTGGAAACTTATGCATAACTAAAATACCCAAAGAATTCACTGAAGGGAACAAATCCTTTCTTTTTCCTGTCCCTTGAAACTAAATACACTGACTCATTTTGTAATGCGGGCGAAGTAGCTCTCAAATATAATGCATTTTTTTTCTATCCTAGATACTTGGGTAAAATTGGAAGGTGAGTGCTTAGGCAGAAATAAATACCGAGCTGGTGGGAGCAAAGTTCAGTTGGGCAATCCTTTTTATGATACAAGTTAAGGATATTATCAGTTCCAAAAGTGCCTTTATTTCTGGAGTCACAGTCTAAAGGCAAGGCTAACCCAGCTCCTGGCTCCCATATGAACATTATTTATTCAGTATGTCAGATTTTTCTCAATGTGCCCCTCAGCATATTTTTACTGGTGGGAACTGATTTTCTAGACACCTAAATCAACTGCCCATTCTGGTTTATCTTAGGGAACATGCTCATTGAAGCAGTATTCTCACTCAGCTTGAATTCTAAATTTTGTTCCCTTATTATAAGTGATGAATATGTTGTAGAATGAAGATAACTTTCTTCTGCCTTTTTAGGTTAGAGCTTCAGCATGAGAATTATACTTTGACACAGGAAATCAGGTCTGTAAGTGAAATACAGTAAAGTGTTCTTGAATGGAGACTCTAGCTTACAACCCCAAGCTAAAAATATGTGGCACTAAAGCCTGGCTCCTTCTTCCCTCATTGTTTTGTCATTCTTTCCCAAACTTGGGGAATCAAAATCTCTTTGTGCAAATGGCGAATTCATAAACTGAAACAGACTTCGGGTTCTATTATAGAGGCAAAGTAATAATACTTTTATATATTATAGGGTTATATAGTATAGTATAGTAACTCGAACCCATGGTTGGATCTGACGGAACCTACATAGATAGTAATCTGAATGACTGGCCTTTGTTTTATAGTATGAACAAAAATAGCCTATAGGCAAGGTATTATCTGAGCAGAAATTATGAAACATATATTCCAGAGCTCTATGACTGAGGGACATTTCAACTTGAATTTCCCAGTGGCAAAACTAGTGTGTAAAGTAATGCTAGTGTATACACTACTAAAGCGCCAAGTTATGTAACATTTCCTGATCTAATTTTAAAAAGGAAAGATTGTTTTTTACTGTGAAGGGCAGTAACACTAAATCTTCCCCATGGGTGCATGTGAATGATTTATTTAGTACGTTGACATACTTAAATATTAGTGTTTCTGGGAAGCTGGATTTGATATAAACTTGTTTTGTCACAGTTTTAAATGTCAAAGAAAAATCTTTGAAAATACAGTGGTAATAGACATGTATTTGCTATTAAGACCAAGACCAAATGCCTAGATCCCTTAAATAATCAAATTTTGAACTGTGCAATACAGTTTAGTATGTCTTTGGAAGACAATGATACCCAAGAATCAAAATAAACCATAAATAGTACAGGTACATCTCAGCACAGCTAACTGGGACATCTAGCAAAAGCACACACATATAATAAAACCCTACAGTTTTGCTTCAACAGAACAATAAAGCAAAATGGCAGTGGACATAGTATTACTTAGCTTAACATTTTCCCCCAAACTTTATCCCTAGCAGACCCAAAATGAGCTTACAGAACCTAGAATAATGTCTGGGAATGACACTCCCTTGCTTTAGAGAGAATAGTCCATAATGGTAGTATTTCACAAGCTATTAATAGTATTTAGAGTTAATCATGAAATTTTTTTTTAACTTCTTAATGTTTCAACAGTCATGGAACTATATAAAACATAAGGAAAGTAGTATGTGAGTATGCTGTATATAAATAGAATTTATACTCATTGAGAATACTGAAAAGCACTAATACTTTCTTCATGCTACAAACATACTGGAAATACTTTTACAGTAAATATGCAATAGTTTGATGGAAGTAATTTCTCCCCACATATTTATAGTTTGATTCAGGGCACTGAAAACACTTGCACATAAATTATAAGTTAAATGTACAGTGAAAAATTTACTCCTCCCACCATTAAATGTACTAACTTACCTTAAAAAAATGACTTAATACATTTTCATCATCATGAGAAACTTGTCCCCAAATACATGTTCAAGCATTAAGAATAATTGTAAAGTTACATCATCACCAGCGGGAACTGCAGTACAGACTGGAAACTAAAGGTAAGGGAACTGCTAGGCCTGCCTCACTTTCCCTTTCTCTTGCAGCTAACTCACCATCTCCTGGTATGGGAGAGAGTGGATTGTCCAATTTGTGTTCTCATTCCCTCCCCTAAACACCAAAGACAATTTCCCCAGGAATATGAAAACTAAAAGATGAGTTACATAGGTGTTTACAAAACACAGCTGAACATTTTCCATTATTTTGGGGTAAACCAAAACAAATTTTAAAGTTTCATTTGGAGATTTCCAAGCTGAAAATGCTTTCAGCAAATCCTAATGCCTTAGATCTTTAAGAAAGTATATATTGTCCATTGTTTATAAAATCATTTGCCTTTTTGATCTAAAAATTTACTTGAACTTAATAGGTTTTTCTGTTGGAAAAGTTCTTTGGCATTCGAGTAAAATCCGTACTTTCGGAACAGTCACCTGCATCATACTGTAGTGACTGCTTTAATTTCTAAATCATCAATTAGTGTAACCCAGGAATACTGATGGCCTTGATACATAATTTAGTCTTGTCATTACAGCGTGTGGAAATCAGGGCTTTGGGGGACATCATCTGACCCCATTTCTTCTTACCACAATGGTTCCTGCTACAATGTCATAGGCTGTTCGATTATGCTGAAAAAACAGCAGTGTGATGAAAGCAGGGAAAAAAGAAGCAATAGAAAAATTCTTGATCAAAGCTCGTATAGTGGACCTACAAAGTTAAAACAAAAATATAAGTTACACATCAAACCACATACAGATTAATGGTATCCCATCAAGTTCAAAATAGATATTTAAAACACAGTCTACTTCTCTACAAAAGTCCACAGGGAAAAAGACATTCAAAGCATAGTTGAGAGAATTTTACCTTTGATACGAGTTATTTCAAGTAGCACTGTATCATGATCAAACCACCTGGGCTATTTCTACTTCAGCGACATAAAAGACCTCAGAACTTCAACATAAAAAGCAGTAATAAACATGTCTTGGAATACGGAATAAGGGTTGACAGTATTTAGTATTTTCTTAGAAGAAATGAACATGAATTCTGAGTATGCTTACTGTAGTCCCATTTATTTACCTTATATAAAGAGCTTGCATTTTAAAGTACTGTGTGTTCTTTCATCAGCATTTTCCTTTGTGGTATCCAGTGATTAAGGAAAGCTTTTAAAAGCTTTCAAGTCACTCAGAATAGAGAATTATCCTACTTGTTAGATTTCTGCCTTTAGTGCACTGAAGGGCTGCAGAAAAGTACAGTGGCTGTGAGTGTGGGTTCTGAATCCAAACTAGTTAAATTAAGATCCATCTTCTACCAATTACTAACTAGGTGTATTCCACATCGGCAAAAAGGGACCAGTAGTATCTATCTTATAAAGTTATTAGCATTAAATTAGTTAATATACATGCAGTGTTACAGTGCAGGCAAATAAAAAGTACTCAGTAAACATTAGCCATTACTGACTCTTACTAAAAGAAGTAGGTAGGTTTACAACTATGGAATTTTAAGAAAAATTTGAAGATGGCAAAACCAAGGTTTCTAGAGTCACCTGTTCATGTGTCCCCCCCCACCCCCCGCCCCCCAATGGAGTTTTGCTCTGTCCCCCAGCCTGGAATGCAGTGGTGAGATCTCAGCTCACTGCAACCTCAACATGCCAGGTTCAAGCAATTCTCCTGCCTCAGCCTCCTGCGTAGCTGGGACTACAGGCATGCACCACTATGTCCAGCTAATATTTAAATTCTTAGTACAGAAGGATTTTCACGTTTGCCAGGATGATCTTGATCTTGTGACCTCTTGATCCGCCTGCCTCAGCCTCCCAAAGTGCTGGGATTATAGGCATGAGCCACCATGCCTGGCCCATAGTCCTTGATGTAACAATCCAGCTCTGAATCATTCTGGCAAAAATTGCAGCCAATATCTTGTTTGGCTCAACTGACTACCAGCCACTCACCTCCACAACGTCTATTATCGCTAGTTGTACCTTCCCCCAGAGCTAGATGCCAACAGCTAACCTTGAGTACTGACAGTGCTGCAAGCTCTCAGCAGCAGAAGGATGCACAAATGTATAGCTGTCAAAACTCTTATTGCCTATTCAAGACAGCGTAATGATAGGTACGGCCAAATGGAGACTCAACAGACTGGAAACTGACCTAATGTCCACAGATCTACAGAATAATAAAGATGGTCATGGAGCAGTAAGATAGCACCGACACCCAAATCATCTTCTCATATTGTGACTTGTAATTCATAAAATGATCATCTGGAAAATGTACACTGGAAGAGAGGTCTACAATCATATAACACAACTGAAATAAATACTCATAAACTTTGTTTTAAACTTGATAAATATAAGCCTATCTCTATGCCACAAAGAAAAAAAAATCCCAATATTCTAAAACACATTATTTTCTTAAGTATGTAGTAGATTAAGCTAAGAAAAGGACTTACATTGTAATGCTAACGTTTGAGGAAGGAATCACCAAAACCCGACTTGGTGCAATAAGCACTGATGTATCGCATGTCACAACTCGAAGCCCCAGCAGGAACTTCCCTGGGGTAGCTCCACCTGCTCCCCAAATGCAAATTATCTAAGGAAAGAAGGATAATTTGAAAAATAAGTTACTAGCTCATCTATACCAATTTTAAAGTTTTCCTACCATATTTCATGTTTTAAAATTTTCAATTTGAAAGAATTGCACAGAAACGTTAACCATTTAACTTAATGCATTTCTGTAGGTCTCTAACATGTCCAATACTACAAGATGTCTGTCTCCTGTAATATATCTCTATGACTAATTTGCAGCAAAAGAAATACATTGCAAGTTCCGCAAGCAATTCACAAGTACATTTCTGGACCACAATCTATGAGTGAAATTTTGACTTTATAAAACTGAAAACTATTACAAGGAAATTGTAAAATGTCTCTCTTATAAAAGTTTTTGCTTAATCATTCATTAAAATTTGGAAAAAAAAACAGAAAAGTAGACATATGGAAAAGACATGAATAATTATAAATTTCTTTTACTTTTTTGTCTTGGGCTGATACTGTTGGCCGGGTGCAGTGGCTCACATATGAAATGCCAGCACTTGGGGAAGGCCTGCACTTGGGGTGGATCACCTGAGGCCAGGAGTTTGAGACCAGCCTGGCCAACATGGCGAAACCCTATCTCTACTAAAAATAGAAAATTAGCTGGGTATATGGACCTGTAGTCCCACCTAATCGGGAGGCTGAGATAGGAGAATCACTTGAACCCGGGAGCGTTAAGGTTGCAGTGAGCCGAGGTCACACCATTGCACTCTAGTCTGGGCAATAAGAGTGAAACTCCATCTCAAAAAAAAAAAAAAAAAAAAAAAAAAAATACATATAAAACCATAAAATTAGATAAATATTAATACTTGCTGAACTCAGGAGCTTACCTCATAGAAACAAACCAATAATCTGTATATAAGAGCCACAACCATCATTTTCTGCAAGTCTTCCATTGATGTGTCTTCATCTATTTCTTCTATTATATAATGCATAGCAAACTTAGAGATATCCCTACACAAAATAATAGTAAAGAATTAGTTACCAGAATAGTTGTACTGATTTTTTTCATTAGTGTAAGTCATATATTTTAATTGAAATTCTAAACTAATCTTTAGATTGCCAACCATCTAGTCTCATAAAGCATTCACTAATTTATTCAACAAATAAGCAGCATTATCATGAGCAGACACTGTACTCGCCCTAAGGAAAATGGGTTAATGAATTCCCAGTCTCTGCTTTTGTGAAGGGTCTGATCTAGCAAACTAGAACAATAAGTAAGTAGCAATAATAAAGTGGGATGTGTGCTGTGATGGGGAGCCTAGGATACTATGGAAATACATACCAGGTACACTTAACATTGTGAAGCTTTCGCAGAAAAGACAGATGAGAATCTGAAGGATGAAGAAAAGTCAGCCAGACTAAGAAGGAATAATGTTTCTGAAACGGAACAGCAGGAGAGCAAGTCTTGGAGCAAGAGCGTATGTGACAGAAGCTGTAAGCAGTTTGGTATGGCTCATATATTAAATGTGAGAGGTGGCAGTGATTAAGAAATAAAGGCATCTGTTAAACTACATGATGAAATTCAGACTTTATCCTGCTGGTAACGAGAAACCACTGAAGGTGCTGAGCATGGTGGCTCACGCCTGTAATCCCAACACTTTGGGAGGCTGAGCTGGGAGGATCGCCTGAGCCCAGGATTTTTAGGCCAACCTGGGCAACACAGTGAGACCCCCATCTCTAAAAAAATAAAAATAAAAATTTTAAAAAGAGAAGCCATTGAAGTGTTTTAAGGCAGGAGAGGGGCAGACCATGATTTATGATCACTTTGGTTTTATATCAGAGACTGGACTGAGATAAAACAGGAGACTGAGTTACCACTAGAAGACTTTTGCTATAATCCAAGCAAAAGATGATAGTAATTGAAATAGGGAGAAGCAATCGTGATTAAAAAAAAAAATGGGCCAGGTGCAGTGGCTTATGCTTGTAGCACTTTGAGGCAGGAGAATCATTTGAGCCCAGGAATTTGAGACCACCCTGGGCAGCACAGGGAGACCCTGTCACTACAAAAAAAATTTTTTTTTAATAAACTAGGCATGGTGGCGCATGCTTGTGGTCCCAGCTCCTTGTTAGACTGGCTGAGGTGGGAGTATTACTTGGGCACAGGAGATCATGGCTGCAGTGAGCCATGATTGTACTACTGCACTCCAGCCTGGGTGACAGAGTAAGACCCTGTCTCAGAAAAAGAAAAATGGTGTGGCAGTGAGGAGGTCTGGGGTTGAAAGCTATTCAGAAAGTTGAACATAAAGGAGTTAGTATTTCACTGGATGTACAGTGAGGTGAGAGAGGGAGGGACAGGGAGGAATCACAGTAACACTGAGGTTCTGGCAAGGGCCCTAAAATTTGACTGCATAGGTTTGTATCTTGACTGTCACTACCTTTGTAACATTTTAAGTTCTGGGCTCAACTTTTCATAAACCCAAATTTCAGACTCTATAAAATGGAGGTATCAATCTCAACACTCATGTTGGTATGAAGATTAAATAAGAATCTGTATGAAGAAGCAAGCAAGCTCAGTACACGGCATATAGAAAGTACTCAGGAAGTGATAACTGCTATTCTGATTACTGTTAATCCGGAAGGATCACTCAAACATCTCACATTGAAGTTCACTTGAGACTTGCCCCACAGTATAAGCAATCCCATTTGGAAACACCATCTAGTTGATTATTAATTCACCTACCAAAAGCTCTTTATACCTTGTCTTTAGAGACTCCACAAGATAGCAAGAGGGAACAGGACAGGGACAGGTAAATTGGTTCCTGGCCTAAAGGAATTGTTGAGGCCAGGCACGGTGGCTCACACCTATAATCCAAGCACTTTCAGAGGCCGAGGCGGGCAGATTGCCTCAGCTCAGGAGTTTGTGACAAGCCTGGGCAACACCGTGAAACCCAGTCTCTACTAAAATAAATACAAAAAATTAGCCAGGCATGGTGGCATGAACCTGTAGTGGCCAGCTACTTGGGAGGCTCAGGCAAGAGAATTGCTTGAACCCGGGAGACAGATGTTGCAGTGAGCCAAGATCCCACCATGGCACTCCAACCTGGGCAACAGAGCGAGACTCTTGTCTCAAAAAAAAAAAAAGTTGAATAAAATCAAACCAGGTTTGGAGGCTCTTTTTACCTATTTTTGATAGGCGAGATTCCCACACATCTTACAGAATTCAGTAGAAAATTTTAGTTATTTCTTAAATCAACAAGAAAACCATAAATCTGACAAAGCCCTCATAAAGAAATCATGAGACTGACAAGCTCATTATCCATATAGTCTCGTGCAGACAAACAGAATTTAACAAAACAATAGTTTTAAACAGTAGAAATAAAAACCTTTCTGCAAATGTCCTCAACTTACTTTATCCCACTGAGGTGCATAATACTTAAGACAATGGTTGCTTTTATAAAGAAGAGAATAAAGAAATCCACCATCTCTGCCATAAATCTGTGAGCCAAGGAGGGAATAACATATTCTCTGCCTGTAAATTTAAAAAAAAAAAAAAAAGAAGTTAGGAAAATCCAATCATTTCACATAAGCCTTGGAACACAAGCCATATAATGAATTGGTAAAGTCAAGGTACAACTTAATAAGAAATATAGCCTTGCAGCAACTATTGATATTGATTCCACCAAGAATCCATGTTATTAGAGTAACAGTACCCCACTATTTACTGAACTTAAAGTTTGCTTTCCTAACTTTAACGTTTAAAATTTGATTTCACACAGCTGGATGCAGTGACTCACATCTGTAATACCAGTACTTTGGGAGGCCAAGGCAGGCAGATTGCTCGAAGCCAGGAGTTCGAGACTGGTCTGGCCCTGGCCAACATGGCGAAACCCCGTCTCAACAAAATATTAAAAAATAAGCCGGGCATGATGGCACATGCCTATATTCCCAGCTACTAGGGAAGCTGAGGTGGCAGGATGGCTTGAACCTGGTAGGCGGAGGTTGCAGCGAGCCAAGATCGCGCCACTGCACTATCCAGCCTGGGCGATAGAGCCAAACCTCGTCCTCCACACCTCCTCCCCCCGCCCCCAGAAGTGATTTAACAGACAAATCTGATTCGAGTACCCAATACATTTCACTAAGAACTCTACTGAGAATCCGAGTGATCACATCTAAGTGACTGAAAATTGATTTTAGTACAAATCAAGGTTATACATTAGCAATTAGTATAAAGTAAATCCCTGTAACCTCTCCTGTGTGTTTAGTTTGTTTTGCTTTCTCTAAAATAAACCCAATGAATATCAATCTGTCATGCTAAATTCTGCTGGGATAAGAGGCATCACGTAGTTCTTGTCCCTTCTATCTGTGGCTAAATAAAATAAACGAAAAGTGTAATAGCTTAAATAGTAAACTAATTCAAAATATTCTAGTTCACACACAGAAGCAAAAACAATTACACAATGTACAAGATCAATAAGCCAGGGCTTCTCGATCAAATGAAGTGAAGCTTTGACCCAATCAAAGCTTCGTAACTCCACTGGTATCCATGTCAATCTCCTTTTATGTCCGTTCAGTTCCACTGTCCTAAGTAGCCAATGTCTGAATAATTTCCAGCATTAACAGTTGAGCACCTCCAAAAGTGAGTTTGCCATCTGCGAGTTTAGCTTTGGACCTCACTCTGCACAGCGTGAAAACCAAAGGAAGAGCAATTTTTTTCACGTAGAAACAACTAGTCCCCATGAGTAGGGGAATCAATTCGGAGTGCCAGGTCTAAAGGAAGAAGAAACTGTTGCCTCCTTGTACATTTTGGGGATTTAGGGCCTGGACAAACGATAGCTAGTGCACGGGCAGGATCGCTAATTGGAGTAGCAGCAGCAGCAGTGACAGGTCTAAAAAGCGTGCCAGCTCTACCCACAGGCCCCTGAAGACCCTTCTACGCCCAGCCTCCTGCTCGCTGGTCTCACCTGCCTGCTGCCTGGTCTCGCTCGGGCTTCGAGAAGGGGCTGCAGATCCTACCCTCGTCACTGGAGTGGCCCGGGCCGACGACTGCACTTGAGGAGCCCGGGGTCCCAGGTTCGCGACTGGAGCAGGGGTGCTGAGGCCGGCAGCTGTCCCCGGGTCGGGCCCCGCAGGCCCGGGGCTCAGGAAGTAGAAGGGGTTGTAATAGCCCAGCTGCGGGGCCGGCGGCAGCCCCGCGGCCTGGGGGATGGCAGCGCCGCCCGAGGGGAAGCTCTGCGGAGACGGCTGGGGGCTGCAGTAGGCGGGGAGGGCGGCCAGGCCGCTGTGCCAGGTGAGGTAGCCGCAGTAGGACTGCCACAGCCACTCGTGCACTTGCCGGGAGTACTCACGGGCGCTCAGCCGCGCCTGTCTCTCCCGCGGCGCCGCGGCCTCGGGCGCCTCGCAGCCCGCCTGCTCCGGCGGCCCAGCACCGGAGCCGGAGGCCGCCTCCCCACGCTTCCCAAGCTCGCGCGGGGGCTCTGATTCGTAAGCGGCGGCAGCTGCGAGGCCCGGAGCTGTGGGCCGGCCCGGGGCCTGGGGTTCGTCCTGGGGGTCGTCGCGGGGACATGGGACGGCGGCGGTAGGAGGCCCTCTCAGGGAAGGGACGGGCTCGTGGTCCCCCCCGCCTTCGTCTTGCCCAGGAGGGCGGCCTCGGGCTTCCTCGGGCCCCTCTGCCATCGTCGTCTCAGCAGCACCCACCGCGGTACCTGTCACTGCTCGGTCTTCCTCCCCAAATTACCCCTCCCCAACAGTCCGTCGCCAACGCCGCAGCCGCAGCCGCAGGCGTAGGCGTCAACAATCCCCGGCCGGAAGCGGAAGCCCCGCCCCTCAGGAGCGACGCCCGCCGCCGGGCGGAGCTGGGAAAAGAGGGCGGGGAAGTGCGGCTGCAGTCCCCGGTTCGGTCCCTGGTAGTAGCTGGCTGGTCGGCTGGGACCAGACCGTCGTGGGCCCCCGCCCCCGTGTCGTGGCTTTAAGTCTGTGGCCTGAGGACTCTCTGTATATTCCCGTGGGGTAGGACCTAGGTTGTCCTGGGAGAAACAGCAGAGGGATAAGAAGCATTTCCGAGACGGGTCTCAGGGCCAGCGCGGCGTTTTCTGTTGCAGAACTGCGACTGTTGTTTTGGGCTCCAGGCTAGTGCTTGGTTGCTTGTGTTCATTCCAGTTAACCATTAGTACTCGAGAAGGTGGCACAGAACGCATCTATACCTTTAGAGGATAAGAAATTAAACCAGGCCGGGCGCGGTGGCTCAAGCCTGTAATCCCAGCACTTTGGGAGGCCGAGGCGGGTGGATCACGAGGTCAACAAATTGAGACCATCCTGGTCAACATGGTGAAACCCCGTCTCTACTTAAAAAAAAAAAAAAAAAAAAAAAAAAAATTAGCTGGTCATGGTGGGGCGTGCCTGTAATCCCAGCTACTCAGGAGGCTGAGGCAGGAGAAATGCCTGAACCCAGGAGGCGGAGGTTGCGGTGAGATCGCGCCATTGCACTCCAGCCTGGGTAACGAGCGAAACTCCGTCTCAAAAAAAAAAAAAAGAAAAGAAAGAAAAAGAAATTAAACTAAACCGGTACATATATTAATATATATAATTTTTTTTATAGTTTTGTTTTTGTATCTTGAGACGGAGTCTCACTCTGTCGCCCAGGCTAGAGTGCAGTAGCACCATCTCGGCTCACTGCCAGCCTCTGCCTCCTGGGTTCAAATTGTTCTTCTGTCTCAGCCTTCCGAGTGGCTAAGATTACAGATGTGTGCCGTGACACCTGGGTAATTTTTGTATTTTTAGTAGAGACGGGGTTTCACCATGTTGGTCAGGCTGGTCTCGAACTCCTGACCTCGTGATCCAGCCACCTCGGCCTCCCAAAGTGCTGGAATTACAGGCGTGAGCCACTGTGCCCGTCCAGGAAAGTATATTGAAATGTAAGTAGTGAGGTGCTATATATATATTTCAGAGGAAGGGGAAATTATGCATGGACTAGAGTACTAACAAAAGGCTCTAAAGCCTGGGATATGCTCAGGGCCTTTCCATAACAGAAAATGAAAAGGCACCTAAATTTGAGACTGGATTTGAGGAAAGGCACAGTTCGGCTGGAGTAGAAAGCTTGTGTTTACCACAGTGGAAAGTAAATTTTCATAAATGCAGACTAGCTACAGGATGAGGACAGAATCCAGCTTTTAAATCAGTATAATCCCTCTTCTTTTACATTTGAAAATCTCTGCAGTGATATGTCCGTGTTATCCCCAGCACCATACAAAGGACATATAAGGGCCAATACAGTGGGAATGTTTATTAATGATATTAATGGTGATGCTTCCTCTTTACCCTCTGTAGGTTCACTGAAAATCACCGACAGGAGTCAGTTAATAGGAGAAAAGGCATAGACATTGATTTGATCATCGTTTTATGTGACACAGGAGCCTTCAGAATGAAGACCCAAAGATAACAAGGGAAATTGTGGATTTTTATGCTTAGGTTCAACAAAGCATGCACCGCCAGATAGAAAAATGATTGGACAAAAAGGGTACACTCTAATGAGAATACACAGGAAACCCAGCAAGGCATCTGTCTAGATTATTCTGGGGCCTCTGCGCAGCATTCCTTCCTTCTGGGTATGAGGAAATTTTAATGTTTAAACAAGCATTCCAAGTTGGGGTGAGGGAAGCAAGAGAAACAGAAACGAAGAAACGTGGCTTGAATTAGTGAAATATGATTATTGGAGACATGGACTTTGTTTTGAATACCACTGTTTATGTAACACCTAGCACAGTATCACCGTAAAGATATAAAATGATATGAGACATGAAACAGTAAAATAAGCCAGAATAAGAAAAACTCAGGAATGAAGTAACAGAATTTGGGAAAGTGTTAGAAATAAAAGTAAAGTGGACTGAAATACAAGGAATAAAAGAATAAGAAAATACAATAGTGTCTGAAGAGAACTACAATTTGAAAATAATTTTTTTATCAAAAAAATTTAAACATAGAAATAACTTGAGAGAAATGATAAATATTGAAAATAGGCAAAGAAGATCCAACATATAGGGGTCCTTGATAAAGAAAACTGAAGACAGGTAATAGAACTAATTATAACACATTATAATTCAAAAAAATTTTCTGAAATATATGTATCTCCTAACATTACACACACACACACACACACACACACACACACACAAACACGCAGAGTCATGAATCACTTAACAACGGGGATATGTTCTGAGAACTGCATCATTAGGCTACTTTGTCCTTATGGGAACACCATAGAGTGTACTTACATACACCTATATGGTACAGCCTACTGTACACCTAAGCTATATGGTGTAGCCTATTGCTCCCAGACTACAAACCTGTACAGCATATTAATGTGCTGATTACTACAGGCAATTGTAACACAATGGTACTTGTACATCTAAATATATCAAAACATAGAAAATACAGTATGAAGGATTAAAAATAATACCTTTGTAGGGCACTTGCCGTAAATGGAGCTTGCAGGACAGGAAGTTGCTGTGGGTGAGTCACTGAGTGGGTGGTGAGTGAAAGGACATCACTGCACACTACTGGAGATTTGATAAAAACTGTACACTAGCCCGCATAGCCAAGTCAATTCTAAGCAAAAAGAACAAAGCCGGAGGCATCATACTACCTGACTACAAACTACACTACAAGGCTACAGTAATCAAAACACATGGTACCGGTACCAAAACAGAGATACAGACCAATGGAACAGAACAGAGGCCTCAGAGGTAACGCCACACATCTACAACCATCTGATCTTTGACAAACCTCACAGAAACAAGCAATGGGGAAAGGATTCCCTGTTTAATAAATGGTGTTGGGAAAACTGGCTAGCCATGTGCAGAAAGCAGAAACTGGACCCCTTCCTGACACCTTACACTAAAATTAACTCCAGATGGATTAAAGACTTAAACATAAGCTCTAACACCATAAAAATCCTAGAAGAAAATCTAGGCAAAACCATTCAGGACACAGGCACAGGCAAGGACTTCATGACTAAAATACCAAAAGCATTGGCAACAAAGCCAAAATAGACAAATGGGACCTAATTAAACTCCAGAGCTTCTGCACAGCAAAAGAAACAGTAATTAGAGTGAATCAGCAACCAACAGAATGGGAAAAAAATTTTGCAATCTACCCATCTGACAAAGGGCTAATATCCAGAATCTACAAAGAAGTAAAACAGATTTACAAGAAAAAAGCCCATTGAAAGGTGGTTGAAGGATATGAACAGACACTATACAAAAGAAGACATACATGAGGCCAAAAAACATATGAAAAAATGCTCATCATTACTGGGTATATATCCAAAGGATTATATATTGTTCTATTATATATAATATCTAGTATAATATCTATTATATAATATATAATATCTATATAATATCATTCTATTATAAGGACACATGCATACAAATGTTCATTGCAGTACTGTTTACAATGGCAAAGACTTGGAACCAACCCAAATGCCCATCGATGATAGACTGGACAGGGAAAATGTGGCACATATACGCCATAGAATACTATGCAGCCATAAAAAACAATGAGTTCGTGACCTTAGTTGGGACATGGATGAATCTGGAAACCATCATTCTCAGCAAACTGACACAAGAACAGAAAATCAAACACAGCATGTTCTCACTCATAGGCAGGTGTTGAACAATGAGAACACATGGACACAGGGAGGGGAGCATTACACACTGGGGTCTGTGAGGGGGAAATAGGGGAGGGACAGTGGGGTGTGGAGAGTTGGGGAGGGATAACATGGGGAGAAATGCCAGATATGGGTGATGGGGAGGAAGGCAGCAAATCACACTGCCATGTGTGTACCTATGCAACTATCTTACATGTTCTTCACATGTAGCACAAAACCTAAAATGCAATAAAAGTAACAAACAAATAAAACTGTACACTTATGCTACACTAAATTTATTCTTTTAAATTTTCTTCCAGGCTGGGCTCGATGGCTCACACCTATAATCCCAGCACTTTGGGAGACTGAGGTGGGTAGATCACAAGGTCAGAATATCAAGACCATCCTGGCTTATATGGTGAAACCCTGTCTCTACTAAAAATACAAAAAAATAGCCAGGCGTGGTGGCACATGCCTGTAATCCCAGCTACTCGGGAGGCTGAGGCAGGAAGACTGCTTGAACCTGGGATACCCAGGTTGCAGTGAGCTGATATCGTGCCACTGCACTCCAGCCTGGGGGACAGAGCAAGTCTTCATCTTGGGGGAAAAAATTGTTTTCTTTCTTCCATAATAAATTACCTTTAGCTTATTGAAACTTTTTTACTTTATAAACGTTATTATTATGATTATTTTAGATGAAGTCTCGCTCTGTTGCCCAGGCTGTAGTACAGTGGCACAATCTCAGCTCACTGCAACCTCCACCTCCTGGGTTCAAGCTATTCTCCTGCTTCAGCCTCCTGAGTAGCTGAAGCAGGGATTACAGGTGAGTGCCACCACACCCGGCTAATTTTTGTGTTTTTAGTAGAGATGGGGTTTCACCATGTTGGTCAGGCTGGTCTTGTACTCCTGACTTCATGATCTGTCCTCAGCTTACCAGAGTTCTGGGGTTACAGGGGTGAGCCACCACGTTTTTGATTTTTTAAAAACTGTTGACTCTTTTGTAATAACAGTTGGCTTAAAACACAAACACATTGAACAACTGTACAAAAATATTTTCTTTATATTCATTTCCTGTAAGCTTTTTATTTGAAAAAATTTTTTAAAATAAATGTTGTTTTTTACTTTTTAAGCTTTTTTGTTAAAAATGAAGACACAAAGATACGCATTTGCCTAAGACTGCACAGGGTCAGGATCATCAAAATATCACCAGGTGAATGCGCCACTGTACTCCAGTCTGGGCGACAGAGCAAGACCCTGTCTCAAAATAAAATGCAATAAAGATGTCATTAGGCAATAGGACTTTTTCAGCTCTGTCATAATCTTGTGGGATAACAGTTGTATGTGACATTCATTGTTGACCAAAATGTCCTATGCAGCACGTGACTATATACATATATCTATATATATGCATATAGTCATGTGTGTGTATGTGTGTGTGTGTATGTGTGTGTGTGTGTTCTTAGGTGCACAGTATGAAATGCCAAGTCCCACTAAAAGAAACAAGGGATTCTAAGTCTAGAGCATGTGTGGAATGAGCGCAAAATATCTTACCATACTAGAGAGCAGAGAAACTACTAAAGACTTCTGGAGTCATGTCCAAAGTACCCAGCCAACTAGAAGGGGCTCCTACTGGCCCTGGATGGGACAATTGGAGTTTCAGTAAAGGTAATAATTAGAATGGACTGAAACCCATCATCTATGTTTAAATACTTAAATTCATAATAATGTGTAGTTTTACCAAAGGTTTTAAACCTGAGTGTGCTCAAACTTTTTATTTATTTATTTTTATTATTTTTTTTTTGAGATGGCGTCCCACTCTGTAGCCCAGGCTGGAGTGCAATGGCGCAACCTCGGCTCCCTGCAACCTCCATCTCCTGGGTTTAAGCAGTTCTCTTGCCTCAGCCTCCGGAGTGGCTGAGATTATAGGCGACCACCACAACGCCCAGCTAATTTTTTTGTATTTTTAGTAGAGGCGTGGTATCTCCATGTTGGCCAGACCGATCTGCAACTCCTGACCTCAGGTGATCCACCTGCCTCACCCTCCCAAAGTGCTGGGATTACAGGCGTGAGCCACCTCGCCTGGCCAAGCTTCTTGATCCAACTGCCAATTTACAGAAATAAAGGACAAAGGATCACATTGAAATACACTATGCGTGTGCAATCTGCAAAATCCAACCCATGGGGAACGCTGCAAAGCAAACAACTGGGTTATTCAATATATATCTTGTAAGTAGGGGGGAAGAAATAGAACCTATAACTTACAGGAGGCAGAAAATACATCAAATTAATGAGAAAGTCTATAATGTCTAGGGATATACTTAAATGCAAAAAAGGTGGTAATTTAAAAATTCAATGTAGTGCTGAGGGTAAAAGGAGTTTGTGACTGGGATGGAGCACATGGACAGGCTTCTGGTGTGGCTTACAAAGTTCTATTTCTTGATTTAGGAAATGATTACGAAGATGTTCACCTTATAATAAACCATTAAGATGTTCAAGAAACGGACAGAAATGGAGCGTTTTCTACTCATATACCCTCACTCTAAACTCTGAGAGATATATACACTTCATAAGAAGGAAATGCAACTCAGAAGCATGAAGTGAGATGTGAAAATAAGTGACTTTATGAAAATTAGACCCTGCAACACTAATTTTTGAGTTGCAACTTTGAGAAAAATAGTCTGTAAAAGCATGATGAATTGACAACATGTACTTGTCTCCCTTCCAAAATACTTATTGAAATAAAACAAAGAAAGTTACAAACCTACAAGGTAGATGTATTTTTGCAAGATACAAAGTCCTTGATGAAGGAGGAGAGGTTCAGAACTTGGACATAGATGGTACTTTGGAGAGTGGAAGTAATGCACTGTGCCTAAATGAAGGAGATTAAGTGGAAGTTTGTATGCTGAATACCCCCGCCCTGCTCTTGGAATAACTCCTAAGCAGATACTGGAGTATTCTTTCAAGAGACTCAGTGGTCCCAGGGAATGCCTTCTATATATGGTGCTATCTGGAGGTCCAGAAATAAATGGTTTGTGTTGCCAGTTTATCACTCTACCCTGGATCCTACCAGCAACCAGCAGATAAAAAAATAACACTGTAGAGGCAAGAAAAGAAGTCTTAACAACAAAAATAAAATTATAAATTATGATATGTTTAAATTTTGGAGAATATTAAACATTTGATAAATTTCTAAAAATAGTTGGATAGATATACAGAGAACCAAGTATTTTAAAAAAGAAAGGCAATCACTAACACCAGGAAAAGCAAAAAACAAAACAAAACAAAACTAAACTAAAAAAACCCAAAACAACAAGCCAAGTAAGGAAAGAAAACAGCTGTAAATTCATTGGCTCATCATTGAATAATATTTACTGAGGGAATCTGTGGGAATTGCTCCCGTGTGAGGCCCCTGGGAGATGGGCCTTGCCATACAGTGAGCTTGAGCCTGGACACAGATCCCCGGTTGGGGGAGTCGAGCTGAGGGAAAGCAGGAACTGAGAGAGGGACTATGCTATTCTAAATAGTTAACAGACATTACTTTATGAATATGAGGACTTGGGAGTCAATGTGTCCACTTTTGGCTTCTTATGGTTTATTGCTTGATTGTGTTCATTTTGGACCCTTGTTACCTTCATTGTAAAATATTAACTTAAGTATTTACACTTGGTAACTTACCGTAACTTACTGGGTGTAACTGTAACTTACTTCCCATAGCTTATTGGGCATGACTGTAACTTACTTACATTGATCTATTGGGCATAACCTAATTACTGAAAGTAACCTACTTACTGGGCGTAACCTACTTAATGGGATTAACTTACTTAATACTTAGTGGGCGTAACTTGCTTACTGTAACTTAAGTACGTTGATCTGGTGTAAACAACTTTGACTTCAGAAAAGTATATAAGGAAACATATTGCAAAAATAAAATGGCTGCTTGGACATAGCCTAAGCCAGCCCTCCAGACTCCGCTTTTCTATTTTCTTTCACTTCTGTGCACTCTCTCCCTCAGGTTGAACGAGACATCTACATTGGCGGTCTTGGGGACTCCTCCAGGTCGGTAGTCCCCCGGCAGATGTGCCGGACCCCGACAATTTACAGTCATAACAACAGCAATACTATTGTTTTAACCAAAATTGTGATGTATTTAGTTATAAAGAATGAGAAATACAGGAAGTGGGGTAAGGTGTAAGTTGGCTGAAATCTGATCTCTTATGAAGTCAGCAGATGATTACATCAGAAACTGATTTTTAGCAATTGAAGTAAACACCTTGTTTAGAAATATGGAAGCAAGTAAAGCAAATACAAATTAAACAACTCAGATAATTGAAAGTACTCATGATCAGCTTTGTGGAGCTTAAATGAAGCCTTCTTCAACACACTTACATTTGTAAATGTCCTGATTGTGTTAAAAGCAAAAATAACTTACAACCCTATGCAAGAAAATAAACTGCCTAACAATGAGCTTGCTTGTAGGGAGCAGACAGGGGCTGGGAGTGGGGAAAAGCTGGGATAGGAGCAAGAGTTTCAAAAAAATCAAACAGCAATTTTGATATTGCCATCAAAATTGCTGTTTGACTTTTTAAAAACTATTGCTCTGATTAAAAAAAAAAGTAAGGCTCATATCATGTATGGCTGAATAGAGAGGGTTCAAATAAAGTCCAGGATCCAGTTTTTGTTTTAGCGAAGCAAGCTCTCCTGTTAGGATGAAAAGATGGCTTTAGGCTTTACATTGTTTTCATATTTTTAGTCTTGAGAAGTAACAAACTATCTTATGGGTGAAAAGTCGTGGGCTAATAAATGAAGCCCAAGGACTTCCATTAATGGACAGGAGAGGCAAGGGAAGAACACTTAACAGGACCAAATAGGAAGAGAGAGAGAGAGAGAATGAGAGAGAGAGAGAGAGAGAGAGAGGGAGGGAGGGAGGGAGGGAGGGAGGGAGGGAGGGAGGAAGGAAGGAAGGAAAAGTAAGAAAGAAAGAAGAAAGAAAGAAAAGAAAGAAAGAGAAGAAAGAAAGAAAAGAAAGAAGGAAAGAAAAGGAAAGGAAGAGGAAAGAAGGGAAGAAGGAAAGAAGGAGGGAAGGGGGAAGGAGGGAGGGAGGAAGGAGAAGGGAAAAGGGAAAGAGAGAAGAGAAAAAGAAGGAGAGAAGGAAGAAAGAAAAAGAAAAAGAGAGAGAGAAACAAAGAAAACCTCTAAAATGTAGCAGAAAAGTCAAGCAAAATGGAGACAGAAAAAAGACCACAGAATTGAAGAGGACCTTGCTAACTTGGGGAGAACAAGTCTATGAAGTGGTGGAAGCCAAACTGATCTATTGCGGTGATTTTCAAACTACATATGGAAACTTCTTAGAAGTACAGATTCTTGAGTCTTACACCTGACCCTCTGAATCAGATACTTGGGACCTGCGGCCCACCACTCTGTGTTTTAACAAGACCTCTAAGTGATTCTAAGTTGGAGAACCGCTGATCTAGGCCAGTGGGCTCTCTTTGTTGGCAGTGTAAATTGGTAGAATCTCCATGTAAAGCGATTTTAAAATATCAGTCATAATTAGAAATGTGGACCAGGCATGATGGCTCATACCTTTAATCCTGGCACTTTGGGAAGCCGAGGCAGGAGGATTACTTGAGTCCAAGAATTCAAGACCAGCCTGGGCAACATAATGAAACCCTGTCTCTATAAAAATTTAAAAATTAGCCAAGCATGGTGATGAATGCCTGTAGTCCCAGCTACTCGAGAGGCTAAGGTGGGAGGATCCCTTGAACCTGAGATGCTGAAGCTGCACTGAGCTGTGACCACACCACTATACTCCAGCAAAGGCAACAGAATGAGACCCCATTTTAAAAAAAAGGGTGTATACCCTCAGACACAGAATTTTCAGTAATAGGAATGTACCCTACAATTGTTTGCATGTAAGCAAAATTACTTTGTTTCGAGGTTGCAGCATTATTTGATTGTAAATTTAATACAACTAGCAGACTGGTAAAACCTGTAGTGGCACATGTGTACCACAGACTGCTACATACCACCCACAGTCCCACTGGTCTCCCTGCCTCCTGTCTTCTTCAGTCTTGAACTACTCCAGTTCATTTCCTGCACTGTTATAGAGAGACCCTCTACATCCAGATGTAAAGATCAGTTAAGCGATCTTTCCTGAGTCCTGCAAATCCTTGGCTTTTCCAGGTGGTTGACACTGGAAAAGACAACCCTCTTCCAAGCAGATCAGGTCTTTGTGCAGAAGCATGCATTTAGAAGCCTCAATAACAGAGCTACATTAGAAAGCTTCTGTAATTGTTATTCAATGTTTGGGATTTCAGATCCAAACTAGAACATTTTACTGCAAACACATTGAATACTTTTAGCTAATGTAGGAAGCAAAATTGCAGAAAGTTGGCTTGGTCTTTATTGAATCCTTACTTGCTCTGGCCTCTGAGGCTTGAGAGCAGAGAGAGGGGCACAGGGACCACTTGGGTGTGTAGTTGAACAGCTTTTGTTTTTTTACTGCCCAGGATTCTCTCCTCTTTCCGGGAACAGCATCTTGCCTATGCTTAGGAAAACTGCCCCTCCCTCACTCTTTTGATTCTTGCACAGATGAGACTGTCAAACCTGATTCCACTGCCTGACCCTCCTCCTCAGATATGGGCCAATCAGATTTTTGTCTCCATAGAATCTATATCTTGAGTAATGACTGCAGGCGGTTGGAGATCCATCAGTGTAAAAAGACTGCCCATAAGTTCTGTTACTCTATCTTTAGACTAGCCCTGGTTCCTGATCATTTCAAGGCCCATTTTTTACCTTTCCCTTTATTATGTGAGTGAGCCAATATCTTATGGTATTTTTTTCCTTGTTATCCAGAGTCAGATTCTTTGGATTGTAACCAAAGAATCGTAACAGAATCATACTCACAAGAGGCTGTACCAGTTGAACCACATTATCTCTTGCTGTTTAGAATCTCTTTGGAGAAGAATGCCACCCCCATTATTAATCTATGTGGTTCAGATGAGACTGACTCCACCCCTATTTTCCTGGAAGTAGGCACAGGTTCAGGGATAAGAATATGATGTGAATTGGCTACCTAGAGTCATGGCTTACTGCAGCTTCAACCTCCCCAGGCTCTGGGGATCCTCCTACCTCAGCCTCTTGAGTAACTGGGATTACAGTTACCTGCCACCACACCTGGCTAGTGTGTGTGTGTGTGTGTGTGTGTGTGTGTGTGTGTGTGTTTTGTAGAGATAGCGTTTCTGCATGTTGGCCAGTTTGGTTTCAAACTCCTGGGCCCAAGCGATCCACCCACCTCAGCCTCCCAACGTGCTGGGATTACAGGCATGAACCACTGCACCCAGCTTCAGTACATTTCTCTTAAATTAGCAAGTGCTTGTTTATAATCCTTCTAACTAGAGAACCTGGATTCAGCCATTAGGAAATCATGGCATTGCTTGAGAAGTTTCATGGGGCGAGAGGTGAAAGGCTGACTGAAGGGGGAATGGAGGTAAGAAAGTAGAGCTAATGATTGCATTCTAATCTTTAAGGAGTTTGTTTCGGAAGAGAAGCTGTTAAAGAAGTATCTAATTATTTTTAACCATGCTCGAATCCGTGGTTTGATAGAGTGACTAAAAAGAGAGTTCCTGAAACTTGGCATCCATCAATCTGTTGTTTTACAATGAATTTCTCTAATTTTTAGTGAGATAAACTTACTTTTAGTTTATTGACATATTTCAACTATTCTTTTTTTTTTTTTGAGACAGAGTTTTGCTCTTGTTACCCAGGCTGGAGTGCAATGGCGTGATCTCGGCTCACCGCAACCTCCGCCTCCTGGGTTCAGGCAATTCTCCTGCCTCAGCCTCCCGAGTAGCTGGGATTACAGGCACGCGCCACAGTGCCCAGCTAATTTTTTATATTTTTAGTAGAGGCGGGGTTTCACCATGTTGACTGGGATGGTCTCGATCTCTTGACCTCGTGATCCACCCGCCTCGGCCTCCCAAAGTGCTGGGATTACAGGCGTGAGCCACTACACCCGGCCTCAACTATTACTAGTCATACATGGCAAACCTGTTTCCAAATGCAAAGTGTTTCCATCAGTATAAGGTTCATCGGATTTAATACCTGGATAGGAAGCAGGTTGTAAAAACTAAAGCCACTACCGAGGGCTTCTTCTGTAAATAAGACGTCTAAGCACCAAAATAATGATTACATTGAAAAATAATTGGATTTTGGTACTAGCTTTTGGAAATACACATAAAATAGGCTACCCTAACGTGGATTGAATTGCTATACTGTATAATGATTTTCTGCCCCCTAATGGTTGTTAAAAGGCATTAAGAAATTTGCCATCTCGAAAATATTTTCTATTGTGATAAGAAAATATTTTCTTTATAACACATTTTTTAACTTTAAGAATTCGAAGTGACTTAGAAATGTGTCCTCATTCACAAGAGGCCCATGTTATTCTTAAAAATAGGCCGATCTCATAAAACAACTGCGAACCTCATTATATAACGTGGACAGGCAGGATTTTAGGCAACCAGTAGGTGGAGGAATTTCCAAAGCTAAGAACTGCACACGCTCCAAACCCGACTTCAGAGCCTGAGGACCTTAAAAGTAATCCGTTCAGCCTTCTCCGCTTTATGCTAATAGAAGACTGTGGAAGAGCTCTGAGGTATATGCTCATACAAACACATCGCCCATGATATTCTGGCAAAAGGAAAGACTATTTTAGGTTAGGATTGGATTCTACTTGTGAAATATGAGATTGGAGCAAAGAAAAAGCATTGCTTTGGTTATGAAGAGCATGAGATTTAAAAACTGAAAATAAGTCGAGTGTATGAAGAAAATGACTATGACATAGGAAAGGAAGGAAGCCAAAAGAGAGTGCTGCGGGGAGATGCTAGAAAGCGTGACATCATGCAGAAAGGTCAGGGAGGGAGGCCGAGTTTAGCTTTGCTCCGGTCAGCCATAGGAAGCTGTTATGAAAGACAAATGCAAATATTTATAAAGTATAAAGTGTTGGTAAAAACGAATACGAAAAACATTGAACTGCTTCTGCTGCTCTTTTTTTTTTTTTTTAGCCCTGGAAACAATGAATCGAGAGGGAGCAGCCACAGACACTCCTGAGCACACAAGTTTCGCCCTTCTGTGCCTGATGCAAATTCTTCCCTTAGAATTTGACCCTTGCCTGTGTCACCCACCACTCATCCCAGACTTCCTCCTGACCTCCCTCCAAGCTGGAGCCCACCAGCCTGATCGCTGCTCTTCCCCTCTCCGTTATGATTTACTGTATTACATTATCGTATTGCTGTCATAGAGACCCAATGCTTGACCAGTCTGAAGTCACACACAGGCAGGACAGTAACTGAAACCTCAGCTGTTAAACCTCATCCAATTCCCACTCACCCTGGCTCCCCTTTCTCTATTTTTTAATTAAATTTCTTTTGTATTATTCTTTCTCCTATTATCCTGCAGAGGCTCCCTTTCTTCTTGCAGTCAAAAAAAGCAAATAAATTCCACAATTCTCCTGGTTTCTTTTTCATTTTCTCTTTTCACAGGCCTGTATACTCTTCTGTGTTTACTATCCTGGTTCATTTTATTCTTACTAACCATGATAACTTACCTTCTTTTTTATTCAATAGACTGTCCTCACTCTTGATCAGCTGTATGCAAACAGCCATGTTGAGAACTGCCTACAGGAGGGGCCACGAGGCAAGGGCTTGAAAGTGGCTTCCAGGAGCTAAGAGTGATCACAGCCACCATCTAGCAAGAAAGCAGAGACCCTAGTCCTACAATCTCAAGGGACTGAATTTTACTAACAACCTAAATGAGCGTGGAAGAGGCTGCTAAACCCTAGATGAGCTAGATGAGAACATCTGGCATCTCGATTTAATTCCAGTTTTGTGAGATCCTGATAGTAACCAATACTTTTATAAGCATGCAACTACATTGTGCTCAGACTTCTGACCCACAGAAACTATGAAATAATAAGTAAATGTTGCAAGCTGCTACCTTTGTAGTATTGTGTTATGTAGCAAGAGAAAACAAATACAAACATATAAAGACTTCCAGGAGTTCTATTTTTGGTGTTAATTAGATCCTTCATTTTTATAAAATAACCTCTATCGTTCTGCTTAATAAATTTGCTTTATGTATTTTAATATATTTATTTTATTATATATTACTAATATTGTGACTTCTGTTTTCTTGGTGTTTGCTTTCATTTATTATCTCTTTGCCATCCTTATAGTTCTAAATTGTGAGATACTTTTAGAAATAGTATATATGTGTGTATATATACATATATATACTAAACAAGTGTATATATGTATACACACACAAATTGCATACATATATACACAAACAAGTATATATATATATATATATATATACACACTTAAACATGTATGTATATACATATATACTTGTTTAATTGAATTTTTTGTATTTTCATGATTTGTCAATTTGTCACATTTTATTTACCTTGGTATCTCTTTTGATCTTAATTTTTCATCTTGTCTGTTATTTCTGTATCATATTCTTCCTTGTTCTGTTACTTTCTATACTTTGGTATATAATGATATTTTTGTTTTCTTTTTTTCAGTGACTTGAGAAAGTATGCATTTAAACATTGCTTTCAGGAATTTAAAAAAATTATGTTTTTCTAAAGCATTCTACTTGTGTATATTTTTCAAAGCAGGGACTAGGGGCTCTTGTCCCCTTGTACACTTAGTACCAATTACACAGAAATGTTTAAAAAACATTTGATTGGCTGGGCATGGTGGCTCATGCCTGTAATCCCAGCACTTTGGGAGGCCAATGCAGGCAGATGGCTTGAGGCCAGGAGTTCAAGACCAGCCTGGGCAACACAGTGAAACCCTGTCTCTACAAAAAATACAAAAATTAGCCAGGTGTGGTTCCAGCTACTTGGAAGGCTGAAGCAGGAGGATAACTTGAGCCTGGGAGATGGAGGTTGCAGTAAGCTGAGATTGCACCATTGCACTCCAGCCTGGGTGACACAGCAAGACCGTCTCAAAAAAGAAATAAATAAAAATAAAATAAATAAATACAAAACATTTGGTTTGCTGAACTGAAATCACTAGGTTCTAAGTAATTGTGCTGGTAAGTAGCTTTTACCATTTTTTTTTTCAAATAAGCATTTAAAAATATTTTTCTGAGTATAAACCATTTTCTTCATGTATACTCTCTTGAAACAGACACCTGTAATCTGAGACAAAAAATAGAAATAACTTGATGGATTAGAAGGTAATAACCTTCTTTTGATATATATATATATATATTTAAGATGGAGTCTTGCTCTGTTGCCTAGGCTGGAGTGCAGTGGCATGATCTCAGCTTACTGCAGCTTCCACCTCCCAGGTTCAGGGGATTCTCCTGATTCAGCCTCCTGTGTAGCTGGGATTACAGGTTCGTGCCACCATGCCTGGCTAATTTTTGTATTTTTAGTAGGGATGGGGTTTCACCATGTTGACCAGGCTGGTCACTCCTTACCTCAAGTGATCCATCCAACTTGACCTCCCAAAGTGCTGGGATTACAGGTGTGATGGCTTTCTTTTTTTTTTTTAGGAGACAGGATTCAGCCTGTTGCCCAAGCTGGAATGAAGTGACTTGATTGTAGCTACGGCAGCGACCTCCTGCCTTCAAGTGATCCACCTGCCTTGACCTCCCAAAGTGCTGGGATTATAGACATGAGCCACCGCACCTGGCCACAGTCTGTTTTTCTAATACATATTCACCTTACTTAGTCATATAGTGTGCACATTTCTCCAAGTTCTTGGAAGGAAGGTATTTCTAGTGATGGAACCAATAAATCAGAGGGTTTGTGATACATAAATCCAAATTTGTAATCACTTAAGCACAGTGTAAGTTTATTTCTCACTTAAGTACCAGGACAAGTTCAGGTCAGTGAATGGCTCTTTTCTGTACTGTGATTCAGAGGCTGAGGCTCTTTCTAACTTGCTATTCTTGCATAACCAGAATATACCGTCATCTGCATGATGCAGGCTGGTTGCCATGCTGAGGATCTGGCTAGTGGAAGGGAAAGGGAACATGGAGAAAACATGCTGTCTTAAAAGACTGAGTCCTGAAGTGAGATTTACCACGTTACTTAACTCTCACATTCCTTCCAGGGGAATATAGTCACATGGCCATCCAACTGCAAGGGAGACTGGGAAATGGTCAGAAGGAAAGACCGGATTTTGGTATACAGCTAGTGGTGCTGCCACAGGCAGTTTTGTTATATATTTGTTTAATTTCATATTTGAAAATATTTTTAACACATTAATCTCATTGTAAAGGAATTACTTGTCTTTGAAGGTATCACAGGGACTTGTCAAGTAGACACACCACTATTTAGTGGCAGATCCAGAATGGAAACAGATCTTTTGACATTCGTGGCTTCTAATGTATATGAGTCACAGGCAAAAAGAAAAGAAAAAACACTCACGGCAAAGCTCTTTCTAATTTATGATACAGACAGGAGGGAGGGAAATACTAGGCAGAACAGGGTGGTGTCACTGGTGAAGCCCCACCCTTAAACCTGGTCCTGCAGCCCAGAGTGAAAACATGCATTCCTGTTCTCAAGCTCGAAATGTTGCCTTTTCCAGAACCACCCTGCCCCCCTCATCCTGTACCCATAAAATGCCAGCCTCCACTGGCAGAGCAGCAGAGAAAAGAAGCACCTGATGTTGGAGACAAGAGAAGCAGCAGCTGGACACTGGACAGAAGCAGCTTCACTTCACAGGGATGGCTTAATGGTGGGACCTTGGAGAAGAGTTTGGCTGGGGATGGCCGAACTCCAGGGGGAGGACAACCTTCCCACTCCAACCCCTTTACATCCAGCTAAGAGCCACTTCCATCCCTAAGTAAAATCCACCACATTCACCACCCTTCAATTCATTCATCTGACCTGATTCTTCCTGGATGCTGGACAAGGACCCAGGTTGGGGTACAAGAGGTTGTCACACTGACCCTCCACTGAGCTGTGTAACTCTTAAGCCATCCATGGATGGCAAAGCCAAGAGAGTGCACTCTAACACCTGCCCTCTGGGGCCCTGGGGTTCACAGGCAACCCCTAAATGCTGCCATGGGCCTACACAGAGTTCTGCTTCTGCTGGTTGTCCGGAAGTACTCATCTGGCCCCTGTACCCACTCACCAGCCTGTTCCCACTTCTGTGAGGAGACAGCTTGAGTCCCACGAAAAGGTCAAGAAAACTATCCTGTTTCATTAATGCAAGACTTAGTTTACTTTTTATTTTTTGAGACAGAGTCTCACTCTGTTGCCCAGGCTGGAGTGCAGCAGCATGACCTTGGCTCACTGCAACCTCCGCCTACTGGGTTCAAGTGATTCTCCTGCCTTAGCCTCCTGAGTAGCTGGGATTACAGGCGCCCACCACCACGCCTGGCTAATTTTTTGTATTTTTAGTAGAGATGGAGTTTCACCATCTTGGTCAGGCTAGTCTTGATCTCCCGACCTCGTGATTGCCTGCCTGAGCCTCCCAAAGTGCTGGAGTTACAGGCATGAGCCACAGTGCCCAGCAAGACTTACTTTATATTTTAAAAAAGTTAATGAAGTATGAGCTTTTTCTTTTTTCTTTTTCACTGAAGATAAATGTTATTAGAAATATCTCTGTCTGGTGAGAGGTTGAAGCTTGTTTGAGAGAGACTTACTTTAAACTATAGAGTATGGGGTTAATTTAATTTGAGAAAATGGTTGTCTAGTCAGTTGGTAGGAGCAGCCTGTAGACCATATTGCTGGCATAATTATTTTAGATGCTAACGAATGAGAGAACATTTTGATAACTCCATGAAAATCTCTCAGATTTTAGTTGTTAATGATGGAACATCATTCTCTGAATTCCACATTCACTGAATAGGCTTCCATGAAAATATTCCTTTTTTATTCTTCAGATACTTGTACGTGAGCTTTGAGCACGTAGGGAAAGTGCTGAGCACTTACTTAGTGAATTTGGGCAGGTAATTTGGGTAACTTAGGTTTGCAAATACTATTTTTCAGTAGTCACATATTGTGGCTTTTGCTTCACTTTACCAGATAAATACCAAAAACTCTGTTTCAATTTGCCATTGTAGTCACAGCTAAAGAAACAAGATTCATAATGGTGGTGGAAATTCCTGGTTATTTCAGCCAACTTTTCTCTTTACCCCAGAACATAAAGACAAATAATTTACAACTCCTTTAAAATCATATTGCTATGAATTTACATCCTTTTACTGAAGATAACATGTCATACATGTTCTTGCAAACTATTTCTCCAGACCTCTATACATCTTTTAGTAATGCTACAGGACAATGTGTTTAAACATTTGTAAAATAGCATAAATTTTATCACGCTTGATTGCAGAAGGCAATCACTCTCCTGGAACAAAGTCTACATCTGCCTAACTAATGTATTCTTTATAGCTTCTTTTTTTGTAATTGTATTTTGGGCTCCGGGGCACATGCGTACATCCTGCATCCTGCAGGATGGTTGCATAGGTACACACATGCCATGGTGGTTTGTTGTCTCCATTCCCGCCCCCCACTGTCACCTACATGAGGCATTTCTCCTGGTGTTAGGTGTTATCCCTCCCCATCCTCTCCACCCCCATTGCCCCTCCCTTCCTCCCCTTCACCCTCCCAGCTAGCCCAGTGAGTGTTGTTCCTTTCCCTCTGCCCAAGTGTTCTCATTGTTCATCACCCAGTAGGAGTGAAAACAAGCTCTGTAAAATATTTGAAGAGATTTATTCTGAGCCAAATATGAGTGACCATGGCCCACGACACAGCCCTTAGGTGGTCTTGAGAACATGCGCCCAAGTTGGTCAGGGTGGAGCTTGGTTTTATACATTTTAGGCAGATGTGAGAGCAATCAATTAAATATTTTAAAGGTATATAACCAGGCAAGTTGGCTCATGCCTGTAATCCCAGCACTTTGGGAGGCTGAGGCGGGTGGATTACCTGAGGTTGTGAGTTCGAGACCAGCCTGACCAACATGGAGACACCCTATCTGTACTACAAATACAAAATTAGCTGGGCGTGGTGGCACAGATCTGTAATCTCAGCTACTCAGGAGGCTGAGGCAGAATTGCTTGAACCCAGGAGGAGGAGGTT